AACAAGAAATAGAAAATAGCTGCTTGTGTAAAAACTAATGCGTCGATTTCCTTAGAGTTTGTACTAAAAATTTAAGAAATATATCATCTACGTACGCTCTTTTTTTGATTTCTAATTTTTTATTCCAATTCTTTTAAATAATTAAAAAACTACAATGAAAATGTTACGAGTGTTAAATAATAATATTTTATTTTTGTTGATTGATATGATTTTTTTTAAAAAGAGCGTACATCGACAATATCACCAAGAATTAAAAAAAATTTATTTAAAAAAAATCGAACAAATTTTAATATGTAAAATAAGTTATTTCTTTTCAAAATAATGTGACCAGCAGCTGGCGATTCTAGCGGCAAAAACCGATACTCTTTATAGGTAGTTACACAAAAACAATGTGTGTATAACTGCGGTATTTCAAACTCGTAAACAATTCTAATTTTAGTAATCGATACGGACGTCATTACGGGAATTCGACAAAAGCGTTATTTACATATTATATTTTATAATTCAGGAATCGGGATACTGTGGTATTATTTATATTTCATATACATTTATTCATAGTTTCAATTTCGCGTTTTAAACTTGGCTATTGCTATTGTATAGTATAATGTCAGATTATCGAAAAGGTAAAAAAAGTCATTTAAGGCTCAGTGCTCTCCGTAAAAAACGTAAGTATGTCGGATTAGTTAATTGGAGAACTGCACAAAAAGAAAAGTTAGTATCTACTTTATTAATTATTCTTCATACTTATCTTAACTAAAATATAACCTAGTATTATAATGTCTTATAATTTTTACGATAGAAAAAAATAATTTGGAATATGATTATGTTATTGACCCGGAAACAATTTCCGAAAATAATTATTCACACAATCAGCGCGGCGATGAAGCTTCTAATTCATTGTCAAATGAGGCTGCAATTAACAACTTGATGTAAGCATTGATAATATATTTATTTGTTCATAATATTATTTATTATTTATACACAATTATAAATTTATACCACTGCTGTATTGCTGTAGTCTATAATATAATAAAGCAATTAGTTACCTATTTATATAATTAATAATTATACATAAACAATAATCAAATTTGAATTATTCGTGATATTATTACCTATTATTATGCAATATTGTTATATCGAAATTCTGAGCGGAGCGATGAATAGGTATATAGATTTTACAATTATTTTTGGTTTTGTTTTAAATTTTTTTTTTTGTGACTGTACACGATTAGTAGTCGAAATAATACTTCAATTTTCAACTTCAGTGTCTTATTCGATGGGAAAGTAAATCTAGTTTCTGATGGTGCATCGAAAAGGTTAAAGTTCCCAGTAATTTTTAAAATCACCATGAAAACCAAAACAAAAAGGGTGGTCAAGTGTTTAACCAATGGCGAACTGGGAGAAAAAATACAGCCCGGGAAAATCATAATTTTAGCGGCCCTCAGTATACTAACGGCCCTTTATATATATAATTATTATATACTTTTGTAAACACAATTTAGCTTTTAAATTTTTAAATATTTTAATTATATTTTATTATATTGATTATATAAAATAAAATAAATATCGCTCTGCTGTATAGTAGTGATGGAGAGTAGGTTACTACATTGGTCACTATAATGGATGTGTTAAATTTGAATGCAATGACTGGTATCATTGACCATTGTATACGAAAAACGATTCTGAACAGAGATGATTTGTCAGACAATGATAATTAGTTGGATACATTACATTATTACCTATATTTCAATAATTGTAATAGGTACTCGTATATCGTTATTTTACGCGATTTCGTAAAAAATTAAATTTCATACGCTCATAAAATTTTTCTATATTGATGCTGGATTTTTTTACAGTTACTTGAAGGAAAACTTATGGATAACCTTGTATTAGATTTTTGAACCTTAAGTATTAATCACAACAATTTTATGAATTTTCAACTTCAAAATTCCTTGCAAATTTTCGCGATTTTGATATATTTCGTAAACATTTAAACTTTAAATAAAAATTGTGACAAATAATTTTTGATTTTTTTTTTTACTATGATAAGAATAACTTATAATAAACCTTGTATTAAAAATTAGAGATTTTTTGGAAAGCCAAATTTTTTTTGTCGGCATTTTAAGAAAAAAAAATTAAAAAAGTCGAAAATTTAAATTGTCTATAAGTAGCTAAGGTCAAAATATTTTGAAAATTTAATCGTAAATATAATCATAATATAAACATTTGGTGAAAATTTCAAGTAGGTATTTTACAATGATTCGTTTTTGAGTTCAGCAAAATCAAAAAATCAATTTTATCGAAAAATGATTATGCGTGAAAACTCCCGTTTTTTCTTTATTTTTTCAGGGTTTTTACCGACGCTTGTGCAAACTACTAGAAATTTTTTACTTTTGACCCTTCAAAGTATCAACTAGATGAATTTTCCTTTACAAAGAGGGGCTAAGTCAAAAATCGAAGCATTATTACTACTTCAAAACGTGATGAGACAGAAAAAATAAAGAAATTATAAAAAAACACACATCATTGTAATATCAATACATTCATCACTCCGTTCAGAATCTAAAAATAAAATGAATAACTATTTGAGATTTTTGATTTTTTAGATTCTGAACGGATTGAGTTTACAATGATGTGTGTTTTTTTTTTTTATTTTATTTTTTTATGTCTGACAACATTTGGAGCAGTAATATTGCTTCGATTTTTGACTTCAGCCCCTCTTTGAAAAGGAAATCGAATCTAGTTGGTGTTTTGGGGGGGGTCAAAAGTTAAAAATTCAATATTTTTTAAATGAATCGGGAAAAACCCTAAAAAATGAGGGAAAAACGGGATTTTTTACGCAAAACCAGTTTTCGACAAAATCGAATTTTTATTTTGTAATAACTCAAAAACTAATCGATGTAAATACTTGAAATTTTCACCAAATGTTTATATTAGCGTGTTCCGTACATAGATAAATTATAATATAATTTATATAATTATATTATAATAATAATTTATATAATTATAATAATATAATTTTTATAGCGATGATGAAGATAATTTACCGCCTTTAGTTGTTGAATATGGACCACCTAATCCTGCTCTAGATCCACTATTAAATCAAATTAAAGGTCGCTATATTATCGATGGACAACATTTTTTAAAAAGTATTCGTTCATTAGAAATACATCGCGAACGGTGTGTTAAAAGTACTCAAGGATGGTTCAAATTAGTAAAAAGTAGATCTCGGGCACTTTTTTGGTATTTAGATTTTGAATGTCCATTTTGCAAAGAATTCCGAACTGTGACCAACGAACCATTGCATACAGATATAGAAAAAAAATTAAATAATCAGGAGTGTCATAAAAAACTAACTATAGCTGAATCTACAGTTTGGGGAGTCATTTCGGCCGGTTCTGGATTTCGTCAATTGGAAGAAATATTTTCACATCTTGGAATAAAATGCATGTCAAATAGTACATTTATGAAATTAGAACAGAACATTGGTGAAGTAAGTATTTTTTACAAAAAAAAATAAAAATAAATTTTAATTTTATTTTTAATTTTATAAAAATAAAATTTTTAGAATTGGAAAACTGTATTCACGGATGAAATGATTCAAGCTGGCAGAGAAGAAAAAAATGCTTGCATTACGAAACGGTGATGTAACAGAAAAAGGTATTCCATACATTACAGTTATTGTCGATGGTGGATGGTCACACAGAAGTTTTGGACACCGTTACACAGCATCATCAGGAGTAGCGTGTGTAATTGGTTGGAGAACAAAAAAACTTTTATATGTTGGCGTTCGCAATAAATATTGTTATACATGTGAGTACCGTAAACGTAATAATATTTCAACTGAACATGAAGTATGTTATAAAAATTGGAATGGAACATCCGCGGCTATGGAGTCTGACATGATTGTGGAGGCATTCTGTAGTAGTATGGATATTCATGGCTTACAGTATAGAGTAATGATTGGTGACGGGGATAGCAGTACTTTTAAAAAAATCAAAGAAAATGTTTCTTATGGACGACATGTTATAAAAAGAGAATGTGCCAATCACGTAGTAAAAAATTATACTAAAGCTTTATTCAATCTTCAAAAACAATTAGGAAATAATGGAAAAAAAAATACTACCAAATACAAAAATCATGAAATTAAAAGTGTTGGCAAGAATGGCTATAACATATAATTCAAAACACAAATTAGGTGTAGAATCATTAAGAGCCGATTTAAAAAATGGACCTAAACATGTTTTTAATATTCATACGCATTGTAAACCATATTATTGTAAGACATCAATTGAAAATAGTGTTAATATAAACAGTTTACAATTTGAAAAAATTATAGAAAAAATTAATGACGTTTTAAAAATTTTAGTTCAAAAAGCACCTCAACTGACCACAAATGATACTTCAAATTTAGCAGAAAATTATATGTCATTAGTCGCTAAATTTTCAGGAGGCAAACAAATAAATAGAGGTAATAAAGGGTCCTACACACACCGAAGTTTTGGTGCAGCATTAGACTTTCAATTGGGTCCGGAATGGTCATATAAAACATGGAAAAAAGTAGCTACAAGTCCTTATTCGCCGCTTAAGAAATTCGGTATGAAGAAAAAATTACAAATTGAATATAAGAGAAGGTCACTTATTAATTCATTCAATAAAAAAAAATTAATAAATGAAACAAAAAAAAAAAAATTATTTGAAAACAGGGGAGAAGAAGATTACGGCGAGTACTGTCAAAAATTAGATATGGACGAAGAGACTTTTGAAATAGAAAAAAAAAACATTAATATCTTCTTTAAAGGTAAACGAAAAAACACAACAACATTTGGAGCAAATTACAGTTGGTCAATCCGAAAACAATCAATGGTTTGAAGCTAGGAAAAATAGATTAACGGCATCTAACTTTGGTGTAGTATGTAAACGACGACCAACAACAAAGTATACACCATTAGTAAAAAAAATTTTGTACAGCGAAGAAATACATAGTTATGCAATACAACATGGAAAAAATAAATGAAGCTGAAGCAATAAGAACATATGAAAAAGAAAAAGGTATAAAAGTAAGGTCTTGTGGGTTATTTGTTGATATGCAATATGGATTTTTAGCTGCTTCACCTGATGGACTAATAGACGCCGATGGAATAATCGAAGTAAAATGTCCATATTCCTTAGCAAAAAAAGGTATTACTATTGATTTTGCCGCTAAGAATATTAAAACCTTTTACTTGAAGTTCGATGAAAATACACAAAAAATTAATTTGAAGGCAACTCATGATTATTATTTTCAAATCCAAGGTCAGTTACACATTACGCAAAAGTTGTACTGTGACTTCATTGTTTGGACACCATTAGAAATGTTCGTAGAACGTATCATGAAAAATGATGAATTTTGGTATAGTAAAATGGAAACTAACTTAGTGCAATTTTATCATGAAGCGTTGATACCAGAAATAGTTGATCCGAGATTATGTCGTAAAATGCCAATAAGAGACATTGAATAATATTATAATAATATACATTGTAAAAAGTTTTTTGTTCTTATTTAATGGTTTTTAATTTTTTATAATTAAATGTTAAACAATAATACATATCTAAAAATAAGATACCTAGTCTTAAAATTATTTATTTTTTAATAATATTATTTCATATAATATGTAAACTAAAAATATTAATATGTTGAATATTCAACGATCAATGAGGTATTATACACATGATATAAAAAAATAATTAGTTATTATGAATTATTTAAATATTTATTAGGTGTATTTAATATATAATATACAATATTAGGTAATCATGTTTTTTTTTTTTTACTTTGTAATTTTTTTGATAGGTATAGGTATAATACGCAGGCCGATTCTTTTATGAACCAATCAAATAACATTTGGAATAGGTAATTAATAAAAAATAAAAAAATAAGTAAAAGCATTTAAAAATAGAAAATAAAAATGTTGTTTATAAAGACATAAAAACTTTTTCTTCAAAAACAATGAGACTTTTTGAAATAATGAGTGTTTCATGATAAAATATTCACCTGTATTATATAATAAAATGTTTTTAATTTATAACTAAAGACCGGATTTATATGCATTAAAATTTTGGAATTCAAATTACTTTTGGGCGAGATCACGTCAGTATAAATTGGCTAAAGCGCCATCTCTGAATACAATAACATACTAAAGCTGTATACTGATGGCATGGTTGGGGGAGAGTAGATGTAAATCGACTGACGCGCGATCTCTGGTCATGAAAACATACTATGTGTGACTAGACATCCCCCTTAAGCCGCCAGCGCACACCGGTGCAAATATCTGATATTATTGCTACGGCAATTTTATCAATCATGAATTCCCAAGAACAAAATACACAATCTACATCTCAATTAAAAACCTTCGCTGAAACCACTGTAAACGCTCAATTTCCAAAAAAAGAACAAGCCATCGTTTTAAACACTATCAATGACATATCTCAATTAGAATACATAAAAGCCCTCGGCAAAATTACATCAACAAAAAAAATATCGTTAGCATCTCGTATTTCTAACAATCGTTTCTGCGTGTATTTTACGGACAAATTTACCGTTGATGAACTAATACAAAATTTTTCCTGTATAACAATAAACGAACATCAAATTCCTTTTCGTCGTTTGGTTAACCCAGCAAAAAGATTTATTATCTTTAATGCTCATCCGATAATTCCGCATGACGTAATCAACGAATACTTAATTTTATGCGGCATTCGAACATTATCGCAAATTACCTTTCTGAAAGCCGGTTTCCAAGACGAACTGGCTCATATAAGCAGCTTTCGTCGCCAGGTATACATTCACCCCGATGATATCGCAAATGTTCCCGGATCAATTGTTATTAGATTCGATAACACCGATTTCAGAATCTTTATAAATGACGACACCCTTACTTGTTATACATGTAAAAAAACCGTGCATACCTCTAACTCCTGCAAAAATAATCCTAAAAATACCTATGTCAACAATAATAGTAGACAAACAACAGAATTTGAGGAACATTTAATATCCAATGGCCCACATGATACAAGTTTAACGGAAATAGATATATACGATACCTCAAACAACGGAGATGTTTTAAATCTTACAAAACCAATACAACCGAATAAACATATGGTCATACCAAACGAACCAATCAAAAGACCCCCTCCATCGCCTAGTAACTCGTCATCTTCAGCAGCCTCCACCCACCATATCGATCAACAGATTAATGAGAATTTCATACAGCCCAAAACATTAAGAGAAAAAATTTTAGACTCAAACAAAACACTCGGCAATCCACTCGAATCAGTCAAAAAACAAAAAAAAAAGCAGTTCACTTGAAAACATTCACTCTAAACTCAACGAAGGACTTAAACCAGTCGAAGGTCTTTTCTCAAATAATATTGAAATTCTTATATCTTTTTCTCAATACATATACATAATGGAGAACTTCACAAATAAATCCATAAATATCCATACTCTGTGTGATGAAGTCAGGGTAGACGTCCTAACACTTCAAAAAATAACTGAACAAGTCAGACCACTGATAAGCGATAAAGCTACAAAAACCAAAATCACCAAACTATTAAATCTTCTATTTCAATCTCTTCCGCTACAGTAACCATTCACAAATCAACCCCTTGAAATTCCTGCCATAACAAACCTAAATAAAAACATACCTAAAACCAATCATGATAGACACACATCTTAATATTATCCAATGGAATCTCAATGGATTCTTCAAAAAAAGAGAAGAGCTCGGATTTCTAATACAAGAATATAATCCCGAAATAATATGCCTCCAAGAAATAAATTTTAAAGAAAACTACGTAGCCCCCATCAAAAATTACAACGGCTATCGCAAAAACCGTCAAGGGGCTGAGAGAGCCAGTGGAGGGATAGCAATATAAATCAAATATTACATTCCAAACACAACCATACATATCCAAAGCGAAATAGAAGTTTTAGCTGTTCAAGTTAACCTGAAAGAAAAACTTACAATATGTAATATATACCTCTCAAATCAAAAAAAATTATCCTCATCTGATATTGATCAAATAATTCAACATCTACCCACACCATATATAATTTTCGGTGACTTCAATGCACACAGCTCACTATGGGGCTCTGCCAAAACTGACCCCAGAGGCAAAAAAATTGAAAAATTGCCGGAAAAATACAACATAGCGTTACTAAACGACGCATCCCTCACCCACATAAACATAGCTAACGGAAACCTCTCCTGCATAGATTTAACCCTCTGCCCACCATCCTTAGCACACAGATTAGAGTGTAAAGTGTTACCTCACTTGCTAAGCAGTGATCACATACTAATCAAAATTAACTTTATCCCAAGGAAAGGAAACACAAATAAAAACAAAATAAAAAGATGGAACTTAAAAAAACTAAACTGGCCTTCATTCGAAAAAATGGTGGACAGAGAAACAAACGAATTACCAAATAATTTACAACAAAGCACCAATGAAATGGTTGAAACATTCACTCACATAATGACCACTGCAGCAAATAAATTTATCGGAAGCCATATAAAACAAAAAACCAAACCAAGAGTCCCATGGTGGAACGATGAGATCAAAACAGTCATAAGAAAAAAAAAAGATGCACTCAACATATTAAAAAAAAATAAAACTCTAGAAAATTTCATAGAACTCAAAAAAATAAGAGCCAAATCCAAATTTTTAATTAAAAACAGCAAGAAAGAATCATGGAAAAAATTCACCTGCTCTATAAACAACAAAACCAACTCGAAAGAACTATGGACTAAAATCAGATCACCTAAAGGACTCAATCGAGATCAAGAAATTCACATAACAGACGAACACACCTCAACATCACTACCAGAAGAAGTCGCTCAAAAAATCGGCTTATTTTTCTACGAAAGCTTCAGCAACTCAATCTACAAACAAAAATTCATAGATGAAATAAAAATACCTGCCGAAAACACGCCCATACAATTTGACACCACCCTCATAGACTCAGACCAAATTAGTTTGAACGCAACAATAACACTAAAAGAAATGAATCTAGCTCTCAGTAAATGTAAAAGCAAGAGCCCCGGCCCTGACGAAATACCCTACTGCTTCCTACAAAACCTCGGATCCTCGGCCAAAAACTACATATTAAACTTATACAACACTATATGGAGAATAGGAAGAATACCAGATGAATGGAAAAAATGCATCATTATACCAATTCATAAACCAGAAAAGACAAGCACTCTGTCGAAGGATTCCGTCCAATTACCCTCCTAAATACCATGACAAAAGCAATGGAAAAAATAATAAACAATAGACTAGTTTGGTATTTGGAAAAAAATAAAATTATATCAATTGAACAAAGTGGTTTTCGTCGTGCAAGATCCACAGTAGATAACCTTTACATAATAAAATCCGAAATTAACAAAGCCCTAGAAAACAATCAAATTCTGGGAATGATCAGCCTAGACATAACCAAAGCTTATGACTCCGTATGGAGACACATAATACTTCAAATACTCAGCAAAATACTAATAAATGGGAACATGTATAACTACATAAAAAACTTCCTCTCCGACAGAAAATTTCGAATCAAAGTTACAAACTGCCTTTCGAACATTTTTACCCAAGAAAACGAAATTCCCTAAGGGTCGTCACTAGCTGTCACGATCTTCCTCCTATCAATAAATGACATTGTTAAAACAATTGAAACTCCTGTAACTGCAAATCTATTCGCAGACGACCTTAGCATACTTTGCAGAAGCAGCAACCTTAATACAGTACAACATTTACTACAAAATAGCGCAAATAACATAACAAAATGGTTAAATAAAACGGGCTTCAACATCTCCAGTCAAAAATCACAAAGCATCATATTCACAAAAAAAAAAAATTAGATAAACTCCAGATAAAAATAGATAACAACATTATACCAAACCAAAATAAAATAAAAATTTTGGGAGTAATTTTTGATACCAAATTAAACTGGATCCCAAATTTAAAAGATGTAAAAAACTCCATCACGAAAAAACTCAACATAATAAAAATTATCTCACATACATCATGGGGTGGTGAAACTTCTACACTACTAAAAATCTACAGAGCACTAATCTGGTCTAAAACTGATTACGGTTTAATAATATTCAGGACACCTAAACACCTAAAAATGATTGATATGCCTCTAAATACCGGCATAAGACTAGCAATTGGAGCCTTCAAATCCAGCCCAATAGCGATTCTAAGAAACATTGCAAATGAACCACCCCCCGACATAAGGAGAACACAAAACAATATACTCTATGCATCCCGAACATTAAAAAATGAGAACAACCCAGCAATCAAATACATCGACAACACAATCAAAGAGGCAGAAAACCTACAAATAAATATAAAACATATAGTACCAAGAGAACCACAAACCATACCAGGGGCGGCTCCAGAGACCAAGTTGGGGGGGGCTTAATTATAGTTTTCACAAAACTTTATAACAAGAAAAAAAAAACAATAATTTTTACAACACAAATTCAAGCCTTCTATTTTTCAAGCTAGCAAAAATATCAATTATGTGATCTATTTGATCTAAGATATCTATTTTGTTATACACATTAATAAGACATAAAGCTGATAGTCTATCTTCGGTCATTCTAGAACGAAGCCAGGTCTTAACTCTTCTAAGAGTAGAGAAACTCCTTTCAGCAGAGGCAACACTAACAGGTAGAGTTGCTAATACTTGTAACAACGTTCTAATAGTTGGAAATATATCTTCATCACAGTTCATGTATGATTCCAAAGCTGTACTTGGACGTTCATTAATTGGTTGATGTTTCCATTTATGAAGCCACAGGCAAATTTCACCTAAAATAAATGATAAAAGTTATGTTACTCCTACTTTATAATAATTATAAATAAATAAATTGTATAGTTAAAAAATAATAATGGTACCTTCTAACATATCAACCATTAAATTTTCAGAAACAGTGAAAAGAGGTGAAAACTTTTTTGCTACTGCAATGATCCTCAATGATATTTTTTGTCGGTCATTACCATCATTATCATTTAATCTGACAATAATATTTGGCAAAAGCAGACGCAAATCAAATGCTTCCAATGTATCTGTTGATAATCTGGTGGTTAAATCTAATTTAATAGTGTCCAATAACGGAACATAAATACTGCGTAGGTAAAATTGTTCAGCATCCGTTGCAGGGTAATTATCACGATGCATTTGTGATTTGGCTATTCTTGGCATTTTGATTTCACATCCGATATCTTCTACTAAGTTACTAGCTTCCAAGAAAATTTTATGAAATTCACTAACACACATTGTTCTTTTTTTCATCAAAAATTTCCTTTATTCCTTCTATTGCCGAAGAAGCATTAGCTAAATCTAAAGATGTTGATTGTAGAAGTCTAGAAACTGGTAGTGTTAGTTTTAAAATATCAGCAGTTGACAAAAAAGGAAATAATGAAATCAGTATTCCTTATAGCTGCTAATAAAATAGATGCTTTTGAAGATGAAATTCGATCAGTCCAATTGGAAATTTCTGTAAGTGCTTCAATAACCTAAAACAAATTATAATTTTAAATAAAATTATTAAAATGTGCTAAATTCTAAATAATACATGTCATACAAAATTTTACTTCATAAAAAATGATTTACCTTTGGAAGAGCAGATTTAAACTGTAGAACACCATCATGCATTTCTATCCATCTTGTTTGACATAGTCCAGTCAGTTGTTTTGCAGAAATATTCTGTAGTACTAAATGCCTCTTTGCTGATGCATTAAAAAATGCAATTATTTCCTTTAGAGTACCTATTGTATTCCTTATGGGTATAATTTTAGAAGTCTGTGCCAACGAATTATTCAATGCATGGTTATAGCAAGGACAGTAAACTGCATTAGAACACTCTTGTTTAATTGTAGTAACTGCTCCACAATCTTCAGACACCATTACAGCACAACCATCAGTGGCCACTCCAACACAACGTTTTAAATCAAGTGCCAACTCTTTAGTTAAAATATCTAAAACTATATGACCAAGAGCCTGTCCAGTAAGTTTTGTCTCTCCAGAAGCTGATATATCATTTGATCTAATCAGTGCTCGACTTGGCAAAATTAAAGTAGAGGGACTCTGTTTACTATAAAAAAAAGAGCGTCCCCATCACTTATTAAACGTTACTAAGCCGCACGTTACCATACCCCCTATTACTCCTCTCTAAATAATTTAGAAAATATTTATAACCAACCAAGTTTTTTTTTAAATATTCATGGTTGATTCCATATTTTGATAGATCATCAATAATAGCAGCATAAATTGTACTTGCAGATGTGTTTTGTAATTCAATTATGTCAAAAAAGAAAGTTATTATGTCTTCTTCGTGAGCAATAGCAGATCTTAAGCAAATTACCAGCATAGTTTTGTTGCTGATTGTAGTAGATTCGTCCACAATTATACATAATTTTCTTCCATTATCTACTATATCTTTGCAAATTTTTTTCCGCATTTCTGAAGATATATGGTCTATTATGTTACTACAAGCCTTATCAGTTTGCAAAATGCGACCCATTTCCAAACCATTATTTACATGGAGGTCTACAAGTTTGGGCATATCAGTATATTGTTTTGTACAATTATGTAACGTGTAATTATTAATTACATGAAACTATAGTCTATAACCAACCATATAATTAATTAAATAGATTTAAAAAAAAAAATCTTTACTAACATTGTAACAAATTAAAAATAATATATTATTCTTAATCACCTGTTGTGGCATTACTACGTCAATATCTGAATTTGAAGTACTTGTAATTATTTGAGTATTTTCTGTATTATTAACATTATCAAAACTCATCTAGAATATTAAAAAAATTAGAGATAGAATAAGTATCTGTAGATATGTTGTGTTCAAATATATTTTTCTGAATCTTTTATAAGTATTATAAAGTATAATATAGTACCTTGTACCTAGTGACCAAGTATACTACTATTTACTATTTATACCTTCTTAATCTAAGAATAAAATTTTAATAAATTACTGTCGTTACTGAGTGTTTGAGTAATTATTGATTATCTACTTACTTTCATCTGTTTTTTAAAATATGAAAATAAATCACTTCGTGGTCTCTTTTTATCAGTCATTGTATTAATAATATAATAGCCAATAGGTAACAATTGTTCTAGTAAAAACTAGTAATGAAATAAAACAGTTTAAAAATTTAAAATTAAAAACTTTCAAACTTTAAATCTATGATAATTGATAATTGATAACAAATATTAGTGAATAATGATAACAGTGGTAAGTACTGGTAACTAATTAGTGATAAATGATACATTGGTTATGAAATATGATTAAAAATAATTAATTAAATGATAATAATAATAATAATAATAATAATACATCTATGGTAAAAAAATATGATTTGATTCGTGCATTTTGATAAAAATGCATAATAATGCAGCGTCCCGTGCGTTCCCCTTAAAAATAAAAGTAGGGGTACGCTAGAATTTCTGAAAAATTAGTTAAGGGACTCCGTCCCCCTGCGTCCCCCCCCAAGTCGAGCACTGGATCTAATAGATCTATAAGCATCCACAAAACATATAAATTCTTCATGTATTTCATTATTAATGACATATCTTAAAGTCAAGCTTAGTTGTTCAATACAAGATATATCTGTTGTTTCATCAAATAAAATTGAATAGACCGTAGAATTCTGAACATTTTTAACAATTTGAGATTTAATAACACTTCCAATGCTGTCTAAGAGTTCATTTTGAATATTCTTTCCTATATATGTGGCTCGAGAGGAAGTATTTTCCAAATGTTTTTTTAAATTTACATCACCAGAACGTATTCTATAACGCAGCAATTCTCTAAAATTTCCTTCGTTAGAAGTAGGAGAACTTACAGATTCATCAATATCAATAAGCATACCATCATCTCCATGCCCTCTTATTGGTATATTCTGTTGTCCGCAAAAAATTAACGTTTCAATGATAGGTCGGAGTCGTTCACGGTTTTCTTTAACTTGTTCATGTCTTTGAGTAAAAATTTGATTAATAACTTGATTTTTGGAACAAGAATACGTTTTTAAAAAGTCTTTTCCAGCTATTACAGCATTTATGTGATATTTGTTAGTATTATGAACACTAAGAATACCGTCTTTACCAGTTAATTTGGAAAATTTTAGAAGTGGTTTTATAACAAGATTTTGAAGGCAGTTGTTGGATGATGAAGAAGGTGCAAATAAAAAACAGTATTTACAAAACAATCCTTTTGCTATATCAGACACAACTAGCCAATGAAATTGTTCCAAATGCATAAATGATGGGGACCGATGTTTAACTTTACCTGCACGAAGTTGTTCAGAACATGGAAAAATATAGTTTTTTGGTGGGTACCAATGGTTATCAAGTATAGCTTTTTTAATAAAATCATTTAAGTTACTTTTCCCCACAAAAGATCCAATATCTGGTTTTGATATCATATTACTTGATGTTACATTATCCTGAAACAGTAACCATAAATTAATAATACTTTATTAAATTAAGTTAGCCAGGAGAATTAAAAAAAAAATATATAAATTAAATTAAAATAATTATATTATGAAAAAAATTAATTGATTCATTATTTAACTAAATACAAATTAAATTAAACATTAGTGGAGTTATAAACTATAAAGATATTAATCAATCTGATAAATTATTGTAATCAACACATTGTAAAGGTAACATTTGCTTATATTATTAAGTACCTATTAAAAATTATTAAGTTATGTATAAATCACTTACATTTATTGTTTTTAACTGGCCAACTCCTTTTTTGGTATTAGTAATCAACTCCTCGTCTATTTTCCTTTTTACGCCATCATTATTGCCCTCCTGTGGCTCAGGTTTTTCTTTCTATTATTTAAAATTATAATTAATATTGTTAATATTATAGGTAGGTACATCACAAACATCATAGGTATTGTCATAAAATACACATTAACTAATTTATAACTAGTTTGACTAAAATATATACCTGAATATTTCTTAAAACTAAAGAAAAATAAAATATAGAACTTATAAAAATAATTTTAAAAAATATTAATTTAAATACATACCTACTATTTAATATCTTATGCTAATATTACAACCATTTAATCAAATAAAAACAATTTTTTATTAATTAATTTAATTAAATACATTTTTGCTTTGATTTAATAAGGTGTTTTTATATAAATAAGGTAATATTTTATACAAGCATGAAGCAATACACACGTATAAAATAAAACACATTAACACAATAGTGAATATTTTATGATAAATTATATTATTTCATTTAATTTTTAATTGGATAACACATACCTGTTTTGTAAACAAAAATTTTTGAAGTTTTGTTTTTGGATCACTCATAACTACTTAAAAAAAGCCAAATGGAATAAAAAAAACGTAGCGTTAACAAAAACAAAATTTAAATTCAAAATAATGTAAACGTAAAGTATAACCTTATTAGTAACTGGTCGTCTAAAGTCCAGACAGTAATAATTGCGTATCGTGTATTGGGTACGACGCAACAAACGATGGTCTAACAACATTATTTATAGAATATAGCAATTCTTATCAAGATAATATTCATTATTCTTGGTATTTCCGAAATTCATACAGAAATATGTGTTTTGCCTTATGTGCTTATGCAATTTATTCTAAACATGATAAAATATTAAATAATATCATACCATATAACTATAAAATATTTTATATTAATATATTTTTATAGTTTATTTATAGGTTCTTCGTAAGATACATAATATAAATAGCAGGTACATGATAGTCGATAGTATAATACGATTTTTTTGTTAGTAATTTTTTTTTTTAACAATATACAACTTATTAGAAATACGGGCTTCTGGTGGTCTGGGGGGGGGGGGGCCGCGGCCCCTAGGGCCCCCCCCTTGGAGCCGCCCCTGAACCATACATCCTTGGTTAATGCAAATCAATACAAACATCGAAATAACAGAATATAAAAAAAACAACACAAATTGTTGGATACCTGTCTGCGCCGTCGTTATCAGCAGTCGTGCGTTCGCGCCGACCTCTGGTGGTTGACGACTCCGTCTTCGTGCGCGTTATCGCACGTACACGAAATGGCGGTTGTTTTTTGCGTTGCGATGATGCGTTGTGTTTGTTTTCGTTTTTGTTTTGCCACGTGTTTTTTGGTGCTGCGAGCAGTCAACAGTGGTATGTGCCTTATAAATATTATTATTATTTTTTTTGTATGTTCGAAATATGTTTAATATAATAATATATACAGTCCATAATTTATTGTATTGCTTTTGAATTTATATATGTTGTATTTTCTTTTATTTCTTTCTCCCGTTGCGATACAACCACGGTAAAGGACCTTGGCTATCGCAACAACCATTTTTGGTCCTTTGGGCCTGATAATATTTTGTTTATGTTATTTCTAAATTGAAATTATATTTTCGCTAAATTCGGGATAGCTCCACCGAGGAGTGAAAAGCGTGAACTCGCTCGCGCACGGTTGGCGAGAGATTCGGCGTTGAAATCGGTGTTGAATTTGCACGTGTTATCACAAGAGGCGGCTTTTGATACACAAAGACGAGAGGCGTTTTTGGCTCGTTATAGTTCCCTGGAACGGTTCAGGAATAACGTGGAAAAGGAGCAACAAATAATTATTTCGTCGTTGGTCAGTTTAGATCAGGAAGATGAATATGTCAACGTCGATGAACCTACGTCTGATAAATTAGATGAGTTGGATGGTGATATTGAGGTGGCTTTTCGTGCGTTTAACCAGTGCGCATCGACGACACTGCTAAATTCCGAACGTATAAATAACGCAAATTCTAATCGTGCATTAACGTTACCAAAAGTTGAATTGCCCAAATTTGACGGAAATACTGTACAGTGGTGTACGTTTCGTGATTTGTTTATGTTATTGGTACACGCGAATTATATCCTCACTGATATAGAACGTTTGCATTAAAAGGTAACACTAATATTAGTACACAATATGACCATAATGCAAAACATAGTAATAATATTATTACTGTCAACGAACAAGCTAATAATATTATTACTGTTAATGAGGAACCTAATAATAAGAATATAAATCTTAATAATACTGTTCATAATGCTAATGAATCTCTTTTAAACGAATTTGACAATTATACCGACCTGGATATCAATAATATTGACGAGTTTGTTTTATTAGAAGATGGAATTGATATTATAAATACTATTTATGGGACAAAAACTAATTTAAATAATATTAATAATGGTATTGGAAATAATACTAATAATATTATTACTTCTAATATTAATAATATAAATGTCCCACTACCATCTTTTTCTGAAGCCGATGAAGATATAATTGTTAGAGAGTCTGATATAAACCTCAATATTGAAAACATTGATGAATTAGTTGTATTAGAAGACAAAATTGATCATAATATTATTATAAATACTAATTTTGAGACAGAAATGAATATAAATATTAATAATACTATAGACAATTATAATAATAATATTATTTCTGGTATTGATATATATGTCCCATCTTCTGAAGCTGATGAAGATCTGATTGTTGGAGTTTCTGGTAAAAAAAAAAAGAAAGATTGATGTTCGTTTAAATAAAAAACAAAACCGTGCCATAGGTGAAAGCTATAAAAAATGAAGAAAGATAATAGTTTTGAAGTTGTCAGAAAGAAAAAAATGAAAGAAAATGATTGCTTTGTTAAAAAAAAATGTAAAAATTAGTGTGCAACTATCAGTGAAGCTAAAAGATTGGCTATATTTAATAAATATTGGTATAAACTTAATGATTATAATAGAAAAAGAGACTATTTATTAAGTTGTATGGAAAAAGTCCCCATTAAAAGGACTTATGTTTTACATACAAGTAATCGTTTTAGTACTTATCGTTATTTTGTATCTGTTGATAATGTTGAAAAAGAAGTATGTAGGAAATTTATTCTTAGTACATTGGACATTTCAGAAAAATTACTAAGATATACTCGTGATAACAAGATTGATCTCCATGTTTCTAAACATGACAATAGAAGGTTAGCAACCATCAAAAAATAAAACTGCTAATGTCATAATTGGGAATGTTGACAGATTTATACAAATGTTGCCAGCTGTCCCATCCCACTACTGTAGAGGCTCCTCTAGTAAAAAATATATTACAAATGATTTTAATAGTTTGGAACATGCGTACAGAGTTTATATTGAAGACTGTAAGTTTAATAATAAGCCATCAGTATCCTGTGGTGTATTTAAAAAAAGATGGAATACTGATTATAACATAGGTATTCATGTACCAAAAAAAGATAAATGCACTTTTTGTGAAGGATTTACAAATAATGAAACTAAAACAACTGAAGATATACTTAATTATGAACATCACATAGCAGAAAAAAAATTCACACATGAAGTATTTAAGCAAGACCAACTGAGAAGTGGAAAAAATGGATTTTTGTGCTGCAGCTTTGATCTGCAAAAAGTGTTGAACACTCCATGTGGCAACGGTATGTTATTATTTTATTCAAAAAAACTAGCGTATTATAACTTAAGTATTAATGAAAGTAATACAAAAAATGGACATTGTTATCTGTGGTCTGAGCCTGATGACAAAAGGGGCTCAAATGAAATTGCTTCCATTATATTTAAATATTTAAAAACTATTGATGAAACAGGTACTTTTCAAGAAATAGCACTTTATTGTGATAGCTGTCCTGGACAAAACAAAAATCATGTTGTTTTGTCTATGTTGCGATATTTCCTATTAATTTCAAAAAATATTATCAGTTTAACGATTAATTATTTATTGCCAGGACATACATACATGCCAGTTGACTCTGTGCATGCATGTATTGAGAAACATTTGAAAAGAAAAACTGTATGGGCTCCTTCTGAATGGCCTACTATAATCAGAAATTCAAGAATTAAATTTGGTCCATATAATACTGTTGAATTAAATCATTCAGACTTTTTAGATTGGTCCGAAGTATGTAAAACAATGTTTAATCGACCAAAATTAACAGATACAGATAGCTGTGATGTTAAATTTAAAAAGATTAGAACAGTATATTTTAATAAAGAGTATCTTAATAATTTTAAGATAGCTTACTCTTTTAAACACAATGATGAAAATAATATTATTTTAGACTACAAAAATGTAAGTACTACTGAGAATAGATTAAGATCCAAACTAAAAAATGTTGAACCAAAACAGTTATATTTCTCCAAACTTCCAATAACCGAAACCAAATACAATGATCTTAAACAGTTATGTACCAAAAAAACAATCCCTGATAAATTTCATACTGAATACTTGGAAATCCCATTTAAAGCAACAATTAGAGATGAGTTAGCTGAAACTGACGAAGAAGACTGAAATCAAAAATTATTTTTTAGATCACTATTATTATTATACCTACCTAATACCTTTAATATTACAAACCAAGTTATTTTTTAATTTTTTATTATAAAATGTTGATAATTAAGAGGACGTCGTACCCGCATATGTTATCTCCGTCTTACAAATGCGTAACATAGCAAATATTACGTTCAGAAGATCACGGTTAACTCCTTTAAATTGAAAATTAGAGTGAATTGACCTCTTTTGAAGTTTAAAAGTGAGATTATTATCTAGGGCATCTCATAGGCTTTTTATTATATTTTAATTTTAAAGCGAGTTATGTGTGTTTTAAGACGTGCAAGCAATTTACAATTTTAAAATACTCATAACTTGCTTTAAAATTAAAATATAATAAAAAGCCTATGAGATGCCCTAGATAATAATCTCACTTTTAAATTTCAAAAGAGGTCAATTCATTCTAATTTTCAAGCTGAAGGAGCTAAACGTGATCTTCTGAGAGTACTATTTGCCATGTTACGCATTTGTAAGACGGAGACAACATATGCAGGTACGACGTCCTCTTAAGTTTGTTGTTATATTATAAACTATTACACTGAAGACAGAAAAACAATTGTTAAATAAGAACAAGAAAATTAGACAAACTAAATATATGGATAAATGTACCGAAATAAAAAGAATATTAAATAATACAAAACTTAGATCATCAAACAATACATATTTGTTAAATGGAAATAAATCAACACCTATAAGGTATAATAAAAAAACATATATAATATCAAATACTTGCGCTTTCGATTCTATAGCCCCAAGTATCTATAGTGTATACCACGACTATTTAAATTATAATATATTTATAAGCTCTTCAAATCAACCGTTTTTGAAATTATGCAAAATGTTAGCCTTATTTTTTGTTCCAAACAAGGATATATATAAATCAAGAATAATTCTTCTTGAAAAAATTTTTAACTTTAAAAATTCATCAAAAATTGAAAATCTTATTCGCTTTGATGCA